TTCACTTTATTCACGAAATGCAACGGTTGGAGCACCTGCTTCCTTACGACTTTAAGCTTTACCTGTTTTAAAATTCTGTAAAGAATTCTTTTGAGATCCCACTTTTGCCCAGGCTAGAAATGATGTAGTGTTTAGTATCACTTGATACGAAACCCTTGTCATGTAAAAATATGTTGCTATTTTTAGACTGCTGCTCATAAGCTCTCTGAAATATCAGTCTATCTGCAATGATTTCATATTGAAGCAGCTGTTGTGCATAGATCGAATCACCATCGTCATCATTTATCACCTCATATCACTTATGAGCAATGGCCTTGTAAATATATGTAGCTAAAAGTTTGCAGCTGTAATCTGAACTGTTGTGAATTGTTGAATTTCATTTTAATGAAAAACAAGGAAAATGCACCTGAGTCACCAGTTTTATCTAGAAGAATTGATCTTAATGTGATATGGAACTCATCTTTCCCTTATCTGTTGCTTCTTGCTGCTCATCAGCAGCTCTTCTTCATTGCATTTTTTATAGAGGAGATATTAATTTGTCTGTTTGGGCGTATTTATACATGATATTGGTTTTGTTTGGTGGGGATACTAAAGGATAATCTGTCATTACTCTCAGTTTTAGCAGTTTAGTATAATGAGCATGCATTTAAAGCAACCAGCCACTGGGTGTGGACCTGAGTAGATACGCTGACAAATGGGGGCGTGGTGACCTAGTGGTTAGAGAGCAGGGGATTTAGCTCTCCTGCAAAGGCTGCAAGGTTGCCGGTTCAAACTTAAAACTGTTAGTCTGAGTAAGAACCTTAACCTTAGGGTGCTTCCTGAACGATGCAAGGTGCTCACTGCCCACTAAGAGGAAGAACACAGCTAAGATCAGATCATTTTGCTTGGGTTCCTTTATAAAGCTGAATGACAAATGAGGAAGGATGTCCTGTTGAACAACCACCTGATGGCTACACCACAGCAGTGTTTACCTAATGCTGTGAATCATTACTGATATCTTATATGCCTTTATCAATGGTTTCTCAAACAAACTACTTTATTAGAATTTCATTCTGGTTTTAATGCTTCCTGAAGGTATCGGTTTGGATAATATCCAATAGGCAGAATTGCCTTGACTTCCTTCTTTCATTCCAATTTGGCTGAAGTTTTAAATTATATTTGCTTTCTTCATACCTATATTTTCTTTTTTTGTATAAACAGATAAAAGTGTAAGCAATAATAGATTTGGATAGGGGTAAAAAGGTCACTAACACCGAGCCCCATTGAAATTGTTGTATATTCTTTGTTGAAATCATCACTTTGTTGTTCTTATTCATCCATAATCCGCCATTATACTGAATTTCAGCCTTGGTGCATTTAAAACCAGGAGCCTGTCAGATGAAGAGAGATTCATGAATAAAGGTTTGCTGATGGGATCCATGGCCTGTACTTGGTGTCTGGAGATTGGACAGACTGGAGCAGGTTGAGTCTGTCAAACAGTGTGATAGAGAGAAATGAGGAAGATCAAAAAGAAAAATAAGCTGTTGGCAGATTCACTTCCTGTCTCTTTACAGTTTTCTCTCTCTCTTTGTCTTTTTTGCTTTTTTTTTTAAATAACTGCGGTTCTGATTGGGTGGCGTCAACGAATCGGCATATGATTCAACTTGATGTGGAACTTTTCGAGCTATCTTTGGTTGCATGGGCTGCAAAAAGAAGCAACTGTTTTGTTTTATTCCTCAAGACTTAATGCTCAGGTGCATCAGCTCCACTTCATGGATGATCAAGCTTTTGGTGCTTGGGGGGGCTTTCAAGGTGTTTATTATAAACTGGATGGTCCCATGACACCAAAGGGACAGTGATGCAACTGCTACAAAATGTTCTGTAAAAGACGATTCTAAATATGTGTATTTTCCTGCAAAGCATCTGACAGAATGTGTTTGGTACAGTATCTATTTCCTCAAAAAGAAGACATGCATCCTACATCTGAAACTTCAACTTCCTCACCATGAAATCCGTCTTGTTTTGTTTTTAGTGCCCCATGCATCTCCTAGGCTGCTCAAAGCTCCCAAGTAGTTTCATCAATGTAATTTATTTTTATTTTTTTCCTCCACAGGCTTTTTTGCACAGGATTAGACAAATTCCAGATGACCAACAGTGTCTTTCCCCTGAACATGTTAAGGTAAGACTCGTTGAAAAGCAAAAGATAAAATGTAAAATTGAGGTGCATCAATCATCGGCCTCAAATCAGAATCAACCACTTCTTCATAATTCTGTTAAACAAATGTGTTGCATGTAAAAACTCTGATAAACACATCAGTCATGTCCATACATATTACCGTATTTTCCAAATAAAGTGCACCTCACTATAAGCTGTGTCCACTAAATCTTTTGAAAAAACTGGAAATGTACATACATAAGCCGCACCAAGCTATAAGCAGCTGATAACTACTGAACTGTCCCCCTCCAAACCTGTAGGGGGAGCTCTACATATAGGGACAAAGAAGAATGCTAGCTCCCCTTAGCTTGTTAGCTCGCAGCATTAATACCTTCTGTTGAAAGATGGGGCTTCGTCAGCTCTTAATTCCAGCTCTACAGGAGTAAACCCCAGTCTCTACATTAGTTCAGCAGCTTTAATGCGGCAAATGTAAAAATATGTGAATTCTGGACATTTGTTTCCTGTCATGCGTGCTGCTAGCACGATATTGTGCTAAATAAAAATTAGTCCCTTATTCTTTCATTTCCAATTTTGACTTCCCCGCTGGCACTTAGGAAAAATAAGCCGCATAGTTCAAAGCGTGGGAAAAAATTGTTGCTTATAGTCCAGAAAATACGGTAATGCACTTGTTTGAATGCCATAAAAAAACAGATGATGGCATAAAAACAGCGATAATGTTAATTAGGGTTGTCACGATACTAAACTTTTCAACTCGATACCGATACTAAGTAAAATATTCGATACTCGATATCCTTTTCGATACCACAAGAATAAAAACAAAGACTCTAAAATTCAACAGAAATATTTTCATTACTGAAAAAAATACAATAAATAAATAAAAAAACAATAAGAATAATATTTTGAGGTTGTGTGCTGTGCACAATATTAAGCAACCCGGGTAAAAAACTTACAAAATTAAAATTAGGTGTTCCTTCCTTGGCTATGTTTTGTAGACATAACAATGACTCTAGCCAAACCGTTAAACAAAAATAATTCTCAGTAATAAGTCTGAAACTGAAAAATGCACAGAATTATTCAATCACACAGTGTTCAGAAAGTGCATTTTCCACTATTCTGCACTTTAGATGGCTGTATCGATACTTTTGACAATGAGTATTGTATCCGGAAACAACTCTTCAGTATCTATACTTTTTTGAGTATCGATACTTTTGACAACCCTAATGTTAATATTCTCTTATATGGGATTAAAAAATATGTACCCCATCTGAAGGACCTGCAGTTTTTTCAATATGTCATACTTCTTAAAAGAACAAAAATCTGCAGCGAAAATTGGAGTTTGCTAAAAAAAAAGTTTATTTTTAAAAATATACATCAATTTCTAAATACTTGGATGATACATTCACCAGATTAATTTTATCTTCTTGTATCTGTCAACCATCTAATTCCCTCTCCCCGTCCCGCCTTTCCGTATCCCACCTTCCTTCCTTTAAATCTCCTCCCATCATATCATCCTTTTATTTTTTTCTCCATATAGATCCTGTTTTCAAACATCGAGGACATCCTGGAGTTGCACAAAGAGGTGTTGTCCGCAGTGGAGGCCAGCTTGCACCCCGAACCCCATCCTAACCACTCGCTGGGTCACGTGTTTCTGCAGTTTGTAAGTGCAAATATCAGAACGCTGCTTAGATGGAGAAGCATGCAGTTCACATACCTTAACAAAGCCCCTTAGAAATAGAAATAAAACACAAACTATTTTCACGGGCCAGCCGTAACCACAGATGCAGGAAAAACGCCTGCTGTGAAAATACCCTTATAATTTCTCTATTTTTCCCTTATAAACCCCCTTTTTTATCTAATGGTCCCAACAACCACCACTTTTACATGTTTCTCTCAGCATGGCTCTGGTTCTTCATCAGTTTATGCTTCTACCTTCTCCCTTTGTTACTCCATCACTACCCTCTCTGCGGCTCTAACACACACAGCAATCCACCCTCCCGGCTCCCCTCTGTATGAACTCGCATGGCCCCCGGGAACAAACAAAGAAGGGTCTGTGTCCGGGGAGGAAGACATGGTGTGTCCTCAGAGAGGGGGACAATGTTTCTGCTGGTAGCACTCAATCTCAAGCTCCGTATTTCTCTTCCCCCATTTGTCCCTCTCTGATAATCTGTCTTCAGTTCACTTTCACCAAGGCACAAAATACACCAGCATCAGTATTCCCTGCCCGGCGACAGGATCACAGGCAAACACAGAGTGGAGTTTTAGTTTCTTAGGTGCAGCATACTGAATCACAGGGAGGGGAGTTAGCTGTTGAAAAACATCTACGAAACTGAAACTTAAGCGTAAATGTCCCCTTTTCTGAAACTCTCCTACCCTTATGAAATCATTTCTCAGTCTGAAACAACCTATGCCTGCTTGTGGCACGGATGACATTTCATCTCTGCCACAGATTTAGCTCATTGAGATGTACCTGCACACGTGTGCGAGCCGTAACCGTGCAAGGCCAAGTGTCAGGGTGCAGGATTGATTAGCTGAGCTCAGCGTGGGTTTTCTCACTCTGCTCTCAGATTGAAAATAGAAAAAAAGAAGAGAAGGAAACTAGCAGGGGGAGTTGGAAGTGAATTAATTTTACTTAAACTGAAATGAAGGTGATCTTTAGTTAAATATCTGCATGCATTGCTCAATTAACCTAATTCAGGGGTTTGAAGTGAGGTTATGTTAAAGCAGTGGTGTGATAATACATCAAACTATTAGATGATATTTGGCCAAGGGCATAAAACATTAACAGCATTTGTTTTTACTGACTGAATTATGTGAAGCCCATGACACTTTTAGCATCTTTAGCTGATTAGCTAGCTGCCAAAATCTAATGCCGCTTGATTCTCTTGATTAGTGGACTGGAAATATCCCACAATGCACCTTGAAAAGTAGTGATCATTGTCACTACCTGATCCGTCCTGCGCATGCGTAAACAGATATACAACCGGGTGTCCATAAATAATGTAATTATGGTACTCAAATGACTTATTTCTATCCTTAACTCACTAAAGAATGCTAATACAGATCTATAAAAATAGGTTTTTTGACTTTTGCGAGACAATTGTGTTGCTTTTTACATTTTCTTTGTTAAACTGCTTATGCGACGTCATCATGGGGCATGCTCAGAGCAGTTGGGCAAAATATGATCAAACCATGTTTATCTGCATTTTAGTTGTTTCTTTCCTTATATTATACACTATATACCATACCTTAATGTTAAGAATAAAGGAAAACATAAAACTCAAAAAGACTAGATTTTTAAATCCAAATCTGAAAAAGTTAGCTACCGGAAGTAGCGTAGAATCCCATTTCTGGTGCAGATCCGACAGAGACGAGTGATAAAATAGGAGGATTTTAAGGCATTTTTTTTCTCAGGAAATGCATTATTAACCTTTATCAGATTATATTTTTGTACTCTTACTATTTTAGGGAAGGGTAAAACAAATAAAATCGAGGATGACCTGCATGTATAGCTGGATACGCAAATGAGCTGATGGCGCATGTGCAGGACGGATTGTTCTTCCAGGATGGATCGGGTAGTAACAATCGTACATGATCACTAGACGAGCAGATATATCCCAGAATGCAATGCGAGAGCTCTTCTCACAAAGCATCATGGGATTTGTTGTGGCAGGCAATAAAGATCAAAGATGGTGCCAGTACCGTGCGGGGAGGTGGAGTTACAGTGAGCGATAAGTAGTGATCATCTGTCCGAACGGTCAGTTAACTGAGTTCACCATAATATCCACTTTATAGTCACCACTCTGTGTTGTGATTGAGGGATCTAGGGGGGACGTTCGGACACAGCCTCTGTCACACAACCTTCCTACAATTAGGAACTACTTCCTGTCCTGCTTCAAAATAAGAGACTCAGACATAGATACATAGTTGTCTAGCTTAATTGAACATCTTTTAGTCTGGGCTCATATCATTAGCTTCGACCAAAAAAAACAATTTAGTAATTAATCGGACACAATTATTTTAGCTTTTGTAATATGTTTTTTCTTTTGAGCCACAAGCTGTTCTTACACTCCTGAAGATGAGCAGGAGATATGTTAAAGCGATTCATTTCTCAAAAACACTGTTGCTGTTTATGAAAAAACAACCGTTATAACCCACAAAGCATCATCATCACTTTTATTAATTTACTCAGAAATCTTATATTATTTCCATGGAAAACAGAAGTAAGATACAGTACCTGGATGGTTGTCCTGTTGTGTAAAACATACTGAGAGTGTGATGTTTTGGTCAAAATAAATGTCTTTAAAATGAAAAGCAACAATATTTTAATGCTTTAACTTTTTCAAAATGTTTATATGTTGGTTTTGCTGCTATTTTGACCAAAATGCTTTACATGTTTTGTTCCCACATTGAAAAATAGTTTATGGCGCAGTGTGCTCTACCTCCACTTCCATGTAAAAGATCTTTAACTTCTCTGGAAATCATCTCCCTTGAAGTACAAACGTGACCACATTCCCTGAAGTAGAGTTTGCTTCAAATGCTCTGAAAGTTTTTATTTTCTAGTTTTTAGTTTAATTCAATTCAATTTATATATATAGCGCCAATTCACAACACATCATCTCGAGGCACTTTACAATTCAACCAGATCATACAGTCAAATTGATTCAAAGTTTTCTATCCAAGGAAAACCATTTGATTGCATCGACTCATTGACTCAAAGGCAATCCCTCACACTAAGCATGCTTGTAGCGACAGTGGAGAGGAAAAACTCCCTTTTAACAGGAAAAAAAATCCAGCAGAAACAGACTCAGACTCCCTCCTTTAAAGCTAGATGTTGCATCTATATTAAATGAGTTTAGAAAAGGGAGCTATCTTCTCAGAGGAAGGATTTAAACAGCTTTTAGACTTTTTATAGAACCTCACTTTAAATATCATGAATTATCCCTGTGATTATTTTTAAAGGTGTAAAAAACACAATTTATATATACACATACAATTTATTTTAAAGGCTGAAATTTGGTAAATTGAATGACTTTGTTGTTCAGAGGTCAAGGTGAGTTTCTTTGTCCTGGCCTTTGAATGGGTAATCTCAGAAACACCTGGAGGGAATTTCAATACATCTGAAACACACGTCTGGTTGAATCAACCATGATATGATTGGATTTCTGAGGACAAAGGTCATTCAGGCTTCAAAAAACCAATTTTTGGCCTTAATTTAGGATGTCTAACCCTTATTCATACAAAACAAACAAAATCAAATGGACTGAGTATTTTTTTTTTTTTCTGGTCTGTCTTTTTTCCCCCCATTTCTGTATTTTGCCGGTTTGGAATGGGATATTTTATGACCAATTCAGAAGTATAATTTTGTCTTTGGCTCTTTCTCCTTGTAGCAACCAGAAGTTTTTGTTTTTTGCAACAAACGGCATCCTAAAGATTTCAGGTTTTTCATTGAACAGCTTCCCACACAGCACCTTTTTTTTCTTTCATGCATATCCATTACACTTCCATGACCCTTGTCTCCTTCAACACTGACACCTCTCGGCCAATCGCTCGGCCCCGTCTGGCGCCCTCCAGCCGTGGCCCTTGACCTCCACCAGAGGTCAACACCATGACTGGGATTTGATTAACCTCCTGCATTGTTCCACAGCCCCACAGTGAGGGAAGAAAACGGAAGATTTATTGCTATTTGAAGTCATATGCTGGGAGGCAAATTTAGCACAATCAATGGTTTAGTTATTTGCAGTGCAATCGTCTGTATAAAATAATAACAATTATCTTATCTGAGGAATCATCTTTTCTTTGCCCGTTTTGCAAGCAGAAATATATACTATGAAATGCTCTGCTTTGGGACATTTAGAGAAAACAATCATCTTATTATGCATTTTCTAAATTCTCTGAACTACACCCAGTATGCTCTGACTTGACGTGCTTCCCTGCTTGATCCCACTCTCCCATCCAAGTCTCCAGAATAACATTCCAGTGACTAAGAATTTAAATACAGATTTGTTTATCAAAGGAACAACCAAAGTCTTTGAGATATTCTTGGCACAAATGACGTCTTTCATAGTGGTCTTGAAGTTCAGGAATAACTGCAGAAATTAACTATCAAGTGTTTTTTTTAACCCTGGTCTCACAAATAACCTACTTTAAGGGTTCCTGAATTGACTATTTAGCCATTGCTACCCATGGTAGGAAATGCCTTATCATGGCTCTACCAACAGAAGTGCTATTTTTGTATGTATAAAGGTCCAGTTATAAAGGATGACTAAGTGTAATTGTAATGGCCATTGCCAGGATGATAAAAAAAAATGTTTTTAATTATAACACAAATTGAAGTTTTAATGCCAACTTAAATCTTAGTAGCATGTAACCACTGCGTTATTATTTTATTGCTGCTGTGGTTAAATTTAAAACATGTCTGACGTGTTCAGCCATCATCTAAGCAAGAGGTGGTGACGTTTTGTAGCTATTATTTCCAAGATTATCACACTTTCATACCAGAACAAGCTTTAGCAATGCCTGTTTTATCATGCAAGGTGCAGAAACGCTGGCCCGTATGAAACTTGAAACTTTTTGTACTAAAATTCATAGACATTCTCTCTCCCACTTCTCTTTTTCTGTTTGGTGTACATCATAGTGGAAATGAATAAACAGCATCCCAAAATGCAACACTTCCTCATTTTTTATGTTAGATCATGCATCATGCTGTGCAAAAGGAAGGCAAAATAGCAACTGATGCAGAACCTTTTGTCAGACTGGCCTTTTAGATTTAGTTACAAGGTGAAATACAACACCTAAGCCCGTGAAAACACGCTGGAGCTTCAAATGTATTATTAAGGCAGCAGAGTGTAGGAAACGGCACAAGCATCCTCTACCAGCTGAAACTAAACACACAACCTGTTGCTTGTTAAAGCCCATTATCCAGTCTGAAGTGTAGGTGATTATTAGGATGTGAAACCATGTGCAGAATGGATTTAATCTTGACGTCTAGAAACTGAAACTGTCATCTGAAACAACCATGTAAGTGAAATCCAAACCGGCAGGTGCTCGGCTGCTGCTTTCAGCTTCAGCAGCAATACCCCGGCCAGCACCATGGTTCGACCTATGATAAACAATATGACAAAATTCAGTCCCAGCCAAACATCTCAACTGTAAAGATAGGATAACTTCACAATAAGACATTTGGTATTTGATCTTTACAGCAAGCTTTGAATTAGGGTTGGCTTAAAATGCTCTGAAAGTTTTGATTTCCTAGTTGTTTTTAATAGTCTTGTCCCCTTTTCAATTCAATTCAGTTTATTTATATAGCTGCAATTCACAACACGTCATCTCAAGGCACTTTACAGTTCAACCAGATCATACAGTCAAATGGAATCAAAGTTTTCTATCTAAGGAAAACCAGCTGATTGCATCGACTCATTGACTCAAAGGCAATCCCTCACACTAAGCATGCTTGTGTGAGCATGCTTGTGGAGAGGAAAAACTCCCTTTTAACAGGAAGAAACCTCCAGCAGAACCAGGCTCAGTGTGAGCGGCCATCTGCTGAGGCCGACTGGGGTTCAAGGAGAAGCAAAGATACGGAAAGCAACTGTAAAAGGCGGCCCCGTCCAGGAAACACACAACTCCCATGTCAGAGGATGAAGAGAGCACATCCAGTTAGTCACAGTCAAAGAAACCGGACTACACTGAAAAACAGGCCGATCTCCAGCATCTATAAACAAAGGTGTTGATGGCAGCAGCACAGCTGATATCTGTCTCCAGGATGGAGTCACAGCCAAACAGGAACAGACAGGCTTTGCCTTGTCTGGTATTTTGCAAACCAATAAAGCCTTATTGGTTTGCAAAATATGCAAAAACATAAAGAACTCCTCCTTTCTTGTCAAAAAAAAGTTTCTAATTTAAGCTTAAATGGGTTAATTGAAAGTCAAACAAACTCAGATGGGCCTTTTTATAAATGGTCACATTCATAAAGTGAGAGAAACTGTTTTAAAGGAGCGAGAACTGCTTTTGCACACTCAAATGTGAAGATTAAACAATTTTTACTGCACAGGTAGGACCAAGTCTGGCAGAAGATCCTAGCCTAAAGACAACACATGTGTTGCAAATCCACAGACAGCATCAAGCTCATGTTATACAAACCTAGCAGAAATATATCTAATGGCTTCAAATTGATGCCAGTATGGTAACGTCTATTTTACCTGATTTTGAACTTTTATGAATTTGATATTAATGGCTGTCCAAGTCAAATCTGACATCTTTTTTTTTCTTCTTTTTTTGCTAATTAGTCAATCAGAAAACCACAACAGCCAATTCAGCATGATCAGTGTACCCACAGCGACTTTGCCGGGGTTCTATATTTTGTCAGCATGTATGATCACATGACTTGTATTGAGTGTGGGAATTTTACATCTCCATGTTTCTCAGTACATTTTGTCCTAAAGCATACTTTTATGTTGGTTCTATGCTTTTGGTAGGAAAATTCAAAACAGGAAAATGTAAGTTGTTTTTTTCATCTCCTTAACAGGACAAGAACTCCTGGAAAAAAAACTCCAACGGTTTCGATTTAAACCCTTTTTTGTTTTTTTGTGTTGGAAGAATTGTTTGGTCAAATCTTAAACATTAATCCAATGGAGATTTTTGTTAGTGATTTATTAAGGTTCTCTCTGTCAGTGGATGCTCTCCATCCAGGCAGACAGAGCTTGAGAAATACGTGCACAAACTGTTCCTTAGAAAACTTGCAGCTGCATCTGCAGCAGAAGTGTCCGACTCAGGGGCCTGAATACAAAAGGACACTTTTCATATTCTCATTTGCGAAGCACTTTCTGAAAAGCATGTCTCCTTTTCCATCCTCTCCGTAGCCGATTCTTTTGAGCTGTAAACTAGCGACTAAAATATGCTCTCCTTATGTCCCTAAGGGGGAGTTTTAAAAGTGTTTTCTTGCTTTTTGCAGAGGCAGAGTTTCTCAGTGTATGGCGAGTACTGCAGTAACCACGAGAAGGCTTTGCGGCTTCTAATGGAGCTAAACAAGATTCCCAACATAAGGACATTTCTACTGGTAAGATCTACTTACTTCTTTCTTTTCAAATCTTTGTCTTTGTTCTTACTTTTACTATTTTGACTGTAGCTCTTTCCAATATGATGCATCTCAGTTAAACAGACGTGTTTTCTGGGTCCAGTGCAAACAATGGTGCTCTATGTTGGTCTGTAAGCACCCCAGAGAAAATTAGCTATATTAGAGATATATATATATATATATATATATATATATATATATATATATATATATATATATATATATACACACACTACTGTTCAAAAGTTTGGGGTCACATTGAAATGTCCTTATTTTTTAAGAAAAAGCTCTGTACTTTTCAATGAAGATAACTTTAAACTAGTCTTAACTTTAAACAAATAAACTCTATACATTGCTAATGTGGTAAATGACTATTCTAGCTGCAAATATCTGGTTTTTGGTGTAATATCTACATAGATGTATAGAGGCCCATTTCCAGCAACTATCACTCCAGTGTTCTAATGGTACAATGTGTTTGCTCATTGGCTCAGAAGGCTAATTGATGATTAGAAAACCCTTG